AGTATATCGCGGATATTTTTATCGTTCGCGTGAAAATTCGACGGAAAACTGCAACTTTCGAACGGGACACGAACAAACGCGCACGACCGTTTTTCGTTTCACAGCCAGTTCCTAAAAACCAGCCAGTCAAACCTCGAACGCGCACCATTTTACACGGGGGAGGAGGGCGTAAACGGCTGTGAAATTTCTACCGTTTTCAATCCTTTGACACCAACATTCGCAATATTTTCCTCGTGGCGTGCTCCTGGTCGGGTCTAAAGGGTGTTAACTGACTCGTTCGCCCCCACCTTCCACCTATTTTCTCCCCCTCCTCGGGATCGAAGAAATCTAAATTAAATCTAAACAAATCCAAAATTGCGTTGTATTTTCCACGAATTAATTCAATTCATGCTGAAATTTCCGAGTGATTTGCATCGTTCCATCGCGAGAGAAATTTTCATACAGGTTCAAAATGTTTGGAGAACGTCGAAACGAGTTTATGCACACGTTCTTTCAATCGCCCTTTCAAATCCAGCCCTTTTAACTGCCATAATTAAATTTTTTTATCCGTCGGACGGGGAGAAAGTTTTCGTCGAATTCGACAAATCGAATCCACGAGCCACGTTATTCGGTTCGTTATTTATCCGAGATCGGATTCTCGCGAATAAAGAAATGATTTTACCAATACGCGCCAAGTGTAACACGAAACTTGCGTACACGAAGCGTTCGTTAATTTACTTTTCACCGACAGAAATCAGGCTGGAAAGCAAATTACGAAATAAAATAAGGGAGGAAAAACGGCGGAACAAGAAAATATCCGGGCCATGGGAAACTGCTGGTTAAAAACAGGTGGCTGATGCGCGCACTACCATAAAGTCGGCTCCTCTTTTTTCCCGTAGCGAGCGCAACGCTCGTGTTTCGTGTTTCCAATCCAGCGTGAGATACTCGCGTTGGATTCGAGTTGGATCGGGTCAAAAATTGGGTGAAAGGGGCGGTGGTCGTTGATCCCGAGCCTCGATTCGATACACCTTCGCAGCTAGATCGAATCTAGAGGGTCTAGGTTCATCGAGCAGCCTTCTCTTTTCAATTTTCAATGTACATCGATGTTCGTTGCTGGTTTCGTACGAATATCAGATCATCTCCTCGTGCTCGGCTCCTTCGTGCGAACGTACACTCGAGTCGAGTGGAAGTCGAAAGGGCGAAGAAAGGCACGAGATTCGGGAAGAATTCACGAGGCTTCGGTTTCTTCTCGCGATATGAGGCATGAAATTGGATGAAATTAGCGACGTTAATGAAAACAATGGAAGGAATGGAGGAAACGTTCCAATTAACCGATACTCAATGCACGGGAACTGATTTTTAATAATAAAATTGGGGGGAAATAATTGGAACAAAGATCTGGAATTTTCGTATACAGTCTTCCCTCGAGAACGAAAAACAAGCTGTGTGCTTATAAATTCAAAGAATTGGAAAATTATTCTTTTTTTTTTTGAAGATCTGTGACCTCTCGAGGCTCGTGCCAGGATTTCGTTCGCGATAAAATTCGGATTGTTATTCGCGATTTTCCATTATCTATAGTTAATTTTTCACCGACAAATACGACAAATGCTCTTCCATCGATCCGCTCGATCTTTTTCTCCCTCGTTCCTTGATCAATGGATACATTATTACCAGGCTTCCAGCCCTTTCGTCGATAATTTACATTTATCTTCCCCTTAACTTAATCCACCCTTTTACATCGATAGGCTATAAATTTATGGATAATAGGAGGATCTGAGTGCGGCACTTACGGATCGAATTAAAGCTTAATCGCGGCTGAACTCGGCACAAAGGGGAATCACAGATGGTTAAGAAAAAAAGGCAGATGTCAAGCGTCGGCGTTGTTAAAAACCACCGAGTGAAAATTCCCCAGCTATCGACCGACATCCTCGCGATTTTCTCTGGCGAACGAGCTCGTCCGATTTCATAATACTTTTCTCTTTCCAAGCGTTGTTTGACAACAACGTTACGAGAACCGTTTTCGAAAATATTTTCAGTCGCCAAACGAAATTTTCGTTTTCCACAATCGGTTACGCTATCGAAACTTTTTCCCTCCCCACGCGAAGCGTGATTCTTTCGAAATTACACGTCGAAGGACAGCGTGTATTCTCGGCTGCTATATGTGGCCTCCACTACGTTCGATGAAATTATTAAACCGATAAGAAACGCGTGTTTCGCCGAACGCACAGCCGAGAATCCCGATTTTCCGAGCGCCACAAATACGCAGCAACGGTGAAAAACGGGCGGAGAGAGAACCACTTACCTAATTACTCGATCCGCGCGACGACGAGGATTCGCGCACCCTTTCATTCTTCCATCTCTCGATCCGATCCGGTCGAGGCAGGAAATCGAAGCAGCGGCAACCAATAATCCCGGGGAGTGATCCCGCAGCAGAAGTTTCTCGAATCAGCCGAAGACACCGTGAAGAGCGTCGAAATCGATGAGAACGCGGCGCGGAGTAAGTCGCGTGTTCGCTAGCCCCGCCACGAACTGATTTAAATTTAGCGTGGAACCAGCCTAAATACGCGCGTCGACGTCGCCCGCCTCGAGGAACGCCTCGACACGCTCGCGATCCTCTTCGCCAATCGCCACCGTCATTCCTTCCTTTCCTTTTCCTTCTTTTTCGTCGGTGCTCGAGAGTTCGCCTCGCCCGATCGAATTCGAAGGGAAGGAAGGGCGAATCGGAAGAAATTCGATTAAAAAAATTTCCACGCCGGCGCCAATTACGAAACTTATTACGCGGCGCCGAGTGCTTTTAGTTGTTCCACGTAAAATTACCGCGTCGTTGAATTATAAATTGCGCCGGCCGCTTTTCGCGCACTCGGCTTCGCGGAGAAGAGAACGAAAAGAAACCGTTTCCTTTGGATTAATTGGATGGCGGTGGCACGTGGTCGTCTTACGCGCGGAGGCGTATTTATTTTCGTCCAATTTCCACGTTCCACGCCTCGCTTGAGTTTTCGCCTCGGAATAGTTGCGGTTGAATCGTTTTAAAAATACTGATATTGAACGTATGTGACTGGGTTATTACTAGACTACTTTGGGATTGTTGGATCGGTGAGGCAAGATCTTGTTCATCGATCTTCCCGTTCAATATTTTAAAATTATCAATTCCCCGATAATCGGTACGTTGTTCGGTATCTAAATACGGTTGGAACGTGTCCAAATAGTTCATTGAAACTGCATTAACAAAGTCTCATAACGTTCATTGAAACTATTATTAGGACAGAAGTGTAGTGAATGAACCGAGCAAATTTTAGACAGTAATGGAATAATAAAAAATGCTCGAACGATGAATGGAATGTGTATTTTGATCGTGTAATTAATTTAACTTGGTAAAACGTTGTGCTACGGGAGGAATAAGCGTGGCAATATTTTATCTTTGATGATGGTGAGTAACGTACCATCGTCGTTTATTGGACGTGTAAAGCGTACGAAATTGAAAGTGGAAGGGACTTGTGAAATGAAGCGCAAATGCGTTACGACGAGGCCGAAAATATGAAAAACCGCGATCGTATCCGAACCACTGAAAAATGGTGTAAAACGATTCTGGAATTCCGATCTAAATTTCTTTCGAAACAACCTAGCCGACTTCCTGTAGGTGAAAAAATTTTACATCATATCAAAGTCTCCATCTTCTTGCATCTCGACGCAAATAAAATTCGTAAGATTCGAGTTTAGGATTAAAACTCGATCAAAATCGCATATTGTGAAAGAAACGATTCGAAACAGTTATTCCATCAACCGTGGAAATTCAAAGCTGTATAATGTAAGGAATGTATCGTCGAATGGAAGTGGAGGAGAAACTCTCGGCAACTGTGGAAACGCGAGGCGAGGAGTTCATCAATCCCAAAGTGCTTCGCGGTGCGGAAGCGCCATCTGGGAGTAATTAACCCGCGATTACGGGGAATTCCCGATGATAAGTTCCCTATACATTCGACAACCCCGTTCCTCCTATTATTTATTTACGCGACGGTTAATTGCATTTTCATTGTTCCCCCCACCGAGGCCGGTAGACACTCGCGCTAATTGGTTAATTGCAAAAACAAACACACACGTGGATGGCGGATATACGTTCACACCGTCTGCAGTCTCGAGTTAATTGCAGGCGTTGGCTATTCTATAATTACTCCAAGTCGAGGTCCTCCATTAACCGTGTGTCAAAGTTAAAAGTAACTTTGACCTTTTAATATAGGAAGCCGCGACACTATACGCGAGGATATAATTTAACGAGGATTACGCTTTTTTTTTTTAAAAAAATCGTCGAGGCGGAAATTCAACTTTTCTGGGGAGGGGAAGAGTGGAATTGCAGAGGTCTCGGTGTCGCCTCTAAGTGAAACTACTTTCGTAAGGATCGGGAAAGGGGAGGAAACGTTCTCAAAGGCGGCGTGTACACCCCGAGCGACAATGCAAATTATTTTTGTGACGATGCGCGGTTGGCTTGGTTTGACGTGTGCTGCAACGACATCACGTTACTTTACCTTACGTCTAATTCTCTTTGTTTGTCACTCTTCAGAGATGAAATGAAATTTCGTGGATATCTCACGATATTTATTTCACGGTTTAGCAACCAGTGTTCTGCTTTTTCTTTGGCACAGGTTCCTTGCGTTTGTTTGAAAACAAGGTGTACGATGGTGTAAGATCGATCTTTTTCTCTTGCCTTTGGTAAAACTTACGTACAATTATCTTCTTAACTTTTAACCAGAGTCAATCAAGAAAGTAGGTAATACAAGCGTGTAATACAATCAAGTAGATTCAAAATATCGGGCACGGTTTAATATTTAATAAGTTCATTGCAAGCGTGTATATATAGTTTCTCGTGACTCGCTAGCTTAATCTCGCTTTATCGAAACTTATCGAATTTACGTATAATCTCCGGCGTTGTCGCGCAGCTATAGTTCAACAATTTGCAACAACGGCCCTCTTTTTCCAACACGTTGCAAGTTTCGCCCCTGAACGTAATTTTCTCGGTCGGGGTAGTTACCAGCGCTAACTTTTCGATTGTTTCATCGTGATTCACATTGGTTACCAGGGAGGAGGGGGAGGCGGCCCCAGGAATTGTAAAACTTGGATGGAAATTTTGAGCACACCGCCACCCTGCGAAAATTAAAGCTCGATCCCACTATATCACAGGTCGGCTCACAGAATTCTCGCGCCAAAGTTTTTTGCGGCAAGATTGCGGCAAGTTTTTCTCCGTGTAATTTCGTGCGTCGAGAGGCACGGAACGAGGAAAGGGTGGGGAATGTTCGATTAAATAAGAGGAACGGGCGACGAGAGAATTAATTAATTAATCAATTAATTAATTAATAACCGTGGTCGGAAGAATGAAATCGAATTTTCGATATTAGATTCGATTAATCGAACTTAATTAGCAATTATTTTGTCTCGTGATTATGAATATACCTGTTTTGTCGAGACAGAGCTCGACGGAGATATTGTTAATTTTGGAAATTGTCACGATGAATCTTGAAGAAAATTATTAAGAACGAATGGAATTTATCATTTGTATTGTACAACACAATATTGTACTACGTATTTTCTTTTCATAATACCGTTTCGATATTTCACGAACACGTTGTTCGCGTTTAGTTCAGACCCGCGTCAAGATAATCCGTTGTTTCAAAATACACCTGGTTGGCGTCGTGGTACTCGTTTGTCCGAAACTTTATGCGCTCTATCCGCCGTTGAATTTGACGAGAAGTGGAAAACAGTTGAACTTCCAACGACAGTAAGTTGAATTTATCGTAATACACGTATTTAGCTTCGATCTGAAACGAGACGATTGCTGCCTCATCCGAACTTCAGGGATTCGCGTCGTTTCGAATCGAATCGTAAAATCGAATCAGCGTCTTTCGTTCTTCCGAATGAAATGAAAATGATTTCACCAACGATTTGTAGATGTTAGAAGAGAGAGAGAGAGAGAAAGAAAAGAGAAGGAGTTATGGAAATGGAAAATGAGAGAGAATATATAAAGGAAAAAATATAACGAATTCATCGTATTATTTGATCATCGTGCGAACAGCATGGGAGAGGGTATTAGTGATGACCAGCGTTTCAAACGCGCGTAGAGTTACAGAAACTCGGTTACTCGACCGTGTTTGTAAAAGCATTAATTCATCGTACGAATAAATCTGAATGCAATTGAATCGGAACACTCTGTTTATGCATTAATAATTCACGATTAACGAATTCGCATGCCGAGCGAAAAATGAACTTTAAAATGGATAATGTTTCAGCGGATCGACCACCTTCCGCGTCATCATCGGTTAATCGAAGCTTTACAGCTTTGCGTGTCGGTGAAAATTGTTTATTACGAGATTCGTTTGATTTGTTATGCGTTTATATTTTTATATAAGCGAAAAAAAAAAGAGAGGGAAAAAATAAAACGGGAATAATTTCGAATTACGTCCAAAATCGGATATTGCATATTGGACATAACGTCTTGTATGGATGGATAAAGCTTTTTCGTTTCATAACAGAACGGACAAGCTCGTTTAACTTGGCCGCCTTAATAGCTTTGCCACGTGCGAACACCTTCCTATTTTTTGACTATCAATCACGGTGGTCCAACGCTTTTCTTCCGGGTCTCGGCTGATCGACCGCCTTGTCACGTGATCGATCACGTGAACACGCAAAAACTTGCCTTATTTTATTCCACTGGATTAAGATAGCAACGGCAGTTAATTCCACTTCGTAAAACGAAGTTCATAAAACAAATGGGATTGAGCTTGGGACTGGAATTTATGATTGAATGCTCTGTTTTCCGCTCGAAACGAAAGCTTCCTCTAATTGCTACTATCTCGAGAAAGAAAAAGAGAGAGAGAGAGAGAGAAAGGATATTCCAAACGAGATTTTTTTAAAGAGATCACTAAGAAAATTTTGGAATTGGAAAGATCAGCGAGGGAATAGCCTTTTTTTTTAAATAACTTTTCTCGTTATTACATATTTTCCCCCAAGGAGGTCAAGATGTCTCGCCTTTTTTCAGCTTTCTTTTTTCTCACGAAACGATTAAAAAAGAGGAAAAAATGAAGAAAAAGGGAAATACGTGGAGAGAGGAGGGAACTCATAGGTAGGGGGCAAAGTGTTCAACACCTGGAAACAACCCTTCTCTCTCTCCTGCACGATTTAAAGACTTGTAAATTGCGAGCGAGGGCATAGATCGCAACAGGGTAAACCACTTGAGCGGGTAAACTTTCGAGTTTAAGATCCTCGCCCTCGAGTTCCCTTCTGGTTAGTGGCGTTAGAAGAAGGGGAATATGAAATTCCCGTGACCAGACTTTACGGCTTCCTCTCTTTCTCCTCCTCCCTTTCGTCTCGCTCGCTTTTCGTTCCTTCAACGCTAATTCAACAACGTTTCCCCTTCCGCCTCTCCTTCCACCACGCGTACATTTGTTTCTTCCTTACCAACCACATCGCACCCTTGATCCTTCTCTTTCTTTCTTTTCCTCCCCCCCCCTTTTTTTTCTTTTACCACGACGAGCCTTACCATATCCTCCTCTTTCCTCCCTCCTTACTCTTCAGATACATTTTACATTATCACCCGCCCTCTCCTTTCGTCCTCCATCTCTATCAACTTTCCACTCTCCCCCTTTACAGTTCCATTTAATATTTATCCTTATTCCACCTCCCTCTCTCATTTTCCACACCCCCTCGCCCCACAGCAATGAGTTTCTTTCACCCGTTCCTTCATTTCCAGCCCTCCTCCCCGTATCCCTAAGTGCGCCCCTCGCCCCCCCCCTTTCCCTCGCCTTTTGTTCCTTAATAGTCGTAGCTTCTGATGTGCGCGACTTAAACGGGCGAGGCCCCCGAGGCGGAAGAGGGGCGGTGGAAATTTTTCCGCCTTGCCGGGCAAAAGTTTGCCAGGACGAGGAGATTGACTCGTGGCTTTTAATAACGAAAGTCATCCTCCCTCTCCTCCTTTCTTTTTATTATTATATTCCTTTAATGCGCTTAATTCGCGGCCTTGCTCGAAATCGTTCTTTCCTCCCCGGTGGTGTATTTATAGGGGAAGAGAGGGGGAGGACGAAGCGATCCGGTCTTCGTCTCACTCGACAAGCGTATCGCGGGGGGAGGAAAAATTGTTGCGCGATAATGGCGCAATTTGGGATCCACAATTATTCCACGAACTGAGAAACTGAACGGGAAGGGAACGATCCGCGCGAATTAACGAGAAATTGGACGCGAAATGACGGGGCATTTGTCGGCCGACGCCCCAGAATTTCTATCGTTTCTTCTATGGCTCTGAGAGGAGAATGGAAAGTCCGCGTGGATTATTCTCCTCGCAACAGGGAGGGGAATTGTGTGTCTATTATGCCGAGAGATATCAAGGGACGGATTATTAACATGATGGAATAATGTGTGTAGAAATGGGACGATCGATTGCCACGAAATATCGTCGATCGTTTTTCGACGATGATGAGAGGAATAAATCTGAAGATTACGGGAGGAAAGAACGATGGAACGATCGAAAGAGATTAGGGATCGAGACACTGGGTAAATTTCTTCGAATTTATCTTTCGAAAAATTTCTATAATAATTTTTTAATTTTCGAGCACGTAAGGTGTAAGTTTCCCCTTTAGAGCGAAATAATACACTCGGTCATACGCGTGTCAACCACTTGAAATGGAATTTGTAAAACTGGGTCGCTATTTAAAACACCATTTCACGTAATTCCTCGTTTAATTTTCCATATATCCGAGAGAAAGAGAGACTTCTTTAAGTTTAAGTGATACGAAAATAAGACGCGAACTTTTTGATCACGAGTCTGTGAACACCGTGTATTGCATATAACCGACGCTTGTTGGAAACAATACGAGAAATGATGGATTGGATAAATTGTTCCACCGTTGGAATAATTTATACAACGGTTTATTGAAATTCGTAACGATTCTACAAAAAGTGACACAATACGTCACAGATCGATTTCTATCGGGATGTCGTCGGTATCTTCGTCATTCAAAATTTATGAAAGACAGCCACGCTCGTGCAAACCGTGGACGGTTTGCAGTTCGTTAACGATCGGCGGAACGGGAACCGTATTATTGTACTGGCAACAATTACGTTGATATTTTATTGCAGGAATAATTATGTAAAGCGAGCTAAACCGTGAAGCAATTAATGTACACGTTTGCAGTTGCAACAAACGTCTCTTGTACGAGCCCGTGTATCTATGTTCGTTCGGACACAAATTTATTAGTTAATTACATTGGCACTGTGTTTATCGAATTCCATTTCGTTCACTATTTGCGTGATTCATAAACGTTTAATTAAAGAGTCATAACATTGCGCTAATTTCTTCCCGTTCGTTACATCCGAATTTTAATGTGGAATTCGATAACGAAAAAGAAAAACAACGAAAAGAAATATAATTTCGATCGCGTTCACGTTTTGCGAAAATTTTTAATGACAACACATGCGTTTTTCCGCAAATTTGCATTATCTTAAATTGCAAATATCGCGTTTTTGATTCACGCTGGTAAAAGTAACAAGGAAACCGACCGTGTTTTGTTATATTTTGCAATTCATCCGCGGGCGGCATATGCGATAAATAAAATGAAAAAGAAAAAAAAAAGAAAGAAAGGCAGGCAAGGAAAACGCGATATCGACGCCATAAAGTTTTTCTCTTGAATCCATAAAAACCTCTAACTGCGGGCATTTTCCGATACTCTGTGGTTTTTATTGGTTTTCGCATCATTGTTCCCGTAGATCCAAAGATTCGATGTGTTGACTGAACGACTATGGTAAAAATTATGGTAAGATGGCTCGAAAATCAACGGTGAATATACCGCGAGGCCAACCAAATTTCCATATAATATTCCAAATTCAATCTCTCGTTAATCAACGTGATCTTGAAGTTAGATCGCAATTATCTCGTGTGTATTTTATATTATCTTCAATAAGAGTCTGCACTGTTCAAAATTTTTATTTTTATTTTTCCTTAAATTATTCATCTAAAAGTCAATATTCGTTTCCCACAGATAATCGTATTT